CGATGGTCCTCCTGTGTTTGATGAAGGGCCCGAGGAGGTCGAGGAGCGTCTTACAGGCGAAGTGGACGGTATCTACGACAGTCCGCCTATTTTCGATGAAGAGCCTCTGGGGCCCGAGGTGACGCTTTCTGATTTTGGCTTGTGTAAGCCACTGGAGAAATATATGTTACTAGAAGTTGCTGATTTTATTGCTCCATACTCTAAAAATGAGCACCACGGGCATTTAGGCGCAGAAATTCCACTACAACAGTGGAAACACAATCATCGTTCATTAACATGTCGCAAGATAATAAATTGGAGACCATGTTTGAAGTTCGAAGAACAAAAAATGTCTTATGAGGCTAAAGATCCGATCCTCCATTTGTTGTGTGAAGTTGAGCGTTGTTCAACCTTCGTGTTCGACCGGGGAAAATGACGGGATTTGCTACCATGAGTTCGACACCACACGCCGGCCACAGGAGCGCATCGGTTTCGAGGGCGAAGCTTTCCGAATCGGAGGAGAATGGTGTAGAATAGTATTATTATTATTATTATTATTATTATTATTATTATTATTATTATTATTATTATTATTATTATTATTATTATTATCTTGGAGAATAAGTTAAGAATTAAATATTAGAGATTTTGTCTTGTTGGACAAGTTAGGAATAATGTTTAGGAGTCTTATTTAAAGGGCTCCCTCATCTATTGTTTTATTCAGTTGAATATTGAATGAAATAAGATATCGTGTTTTGGAGATAGTATCTCCTTGTATGGTTTTATCTTTCTCATTCGTACGCTTTCCCCTACATCATATAATCACATTTATCTAACAAGAATTTTAAAATATAATTAATATGATGCTTTAACTAATTAATCTTTTGTCTAACCGAATTTTTCTCATTAACAAACTTGCCAAAATTTTTGAAATTAAAATAGTAAGGTTATTCTTGCGAGTATACTTACCAAAATAATAAACACTTTAAAAACTGGTTGAAAATAAATTTGAATTAAATTTTTAAATATATTCATAAAGATTGTTATTTATTTTTTTATATGTGATATAATCTAAATTTGGTTATCAGATTTTTAAATTCAAACATCTAAAGGAAAAGACCACGAACAATTTTTTTGTTTACATTTCATTTTATCTTAACTTCCATATATTCAAATTCCTAACAAACTAATTAGTATAATATTTTTTTATCCACATTTATATAATCAGAATTTATAAATTATAATTAATATAATATTTTTAACTAATTAATCATTTGTATAACTTGATTTATGTCATTAACAAACTGGCCAATTTTTTAAATTAAAAAAATTTGGATGATTTTGATTTGTAAAAAAAATAAAAAATAGCTTTATTTTAAAGTCTGAATTCTTTCCATTATTTTGTACATTAACAATCATATATTGGATAATTGATTTTTTTTTAAAAAAAAATCAAAACCAATAAAATTCTTTAAATAAGAAATATTGTATAAAAAGAAGTGTTTAATTATATATATATATATATATATATACACACACGATTGCATTTATATATATATATATGTATATATATACATATATATATACACACACAATTGCATTTATTTTACCTTTCAATTATACCTTTCATTGTTTGTATTTATTTTATTTTCATACATTGTTTGCATGACTCATCGTATTTATGTTACAAAAAAAAAATACATATTTATGCTAGAAAATACCATATTTTTTATATTTTTTAGTGTATATATATTTTAATGTGTGAAAACTTAAAAGGTATGATTGTTATTTCCGTAAAAAAATAAAAAATAAAATAACTCTAACACTTTTATTTGAAATTATGTATATGGTATAATTATCTCCTACCCACGGTGAGTTAATATATCCACTGCTTATGTGGTATGCACACATTGGTGATGTATTTTTTTGAACATATTAACATCACCAATGTGAACATAAGCGATGGACATACTAACATGTACCCACCATAGGTAGAAGAACATTACTATATGTATATGTGTGTATTGAAAGGTATAATTGTGTAATCTTTTAAAAATAAGGGAAATGCTAAAGTCCCGTTACAAAATCATTCTATCGTAGTTTATAACCGTTAGTCATTATGTAACCGTAAGGGAAAATATGATACTTATCACTAATCACTCATTAAAAAAAATAATTAAATGAAAAACAACAAGAAGACGAGAACAAAGCAAAACACGCCTCGTCTTGTATTATTCAATTCTAATTCGGACTCTATCCAAGATAGCGCCAATCCCAAACTAAAGGTGATGGTTATAATACCAAGATAGCGCCAACTTTGCGGCTCATTGTATGGCGGCTTTGGCGTCATCTTCTATGTTGGACATGTACCTGTGTGATTCTTCTTCCGTAGGGATGAGATCGTGGTTTGAGTTCGATATTATCCGGTCCCACCCGCGATGAGTTCTAGTCTAGTATAGTAGTTTAGGCCTCGACTTCCATCTTTTTACCAAAAAAAAAAAAACAAAAAAAACAAAAGGTTCATGGTGAACCTGTCTATTGTCTTTGCATCAATTATTTAGCCCACTCTCTGCAATCATCACAGAAAACCAGAAGAAAAAACAGAGGGGAAAAAAAAAAGACCACAAATCAGTAGATGGAAGGTGATTCTAAAGAAAGGCTATTGATTGCAGGTGAATCTGAAAGCCAAGTGCAGATTAAAGAGGAGAATTTGAAGGGCAAAATATGGGCAGAGAACAAGAAAATGTGGGTCGTGGCCGGTCCGGCTGTTTTCACCCGGTTTTCGACGTTCGGCATAAACGTTATCAGCCAAGCATTTGTGGGTCATATTGGTGCTACTGAGCTTGCTGCTTATGCTCTGGTTTTCACTCTCCTCACGAGATTTGCAAATGGGTTGCTGGTAAATTGCTTTTTTTTTTTTTT